ATATATTATATATATTAAAATTGTTTATTAATAATAAGTAAATATTTGTTATTTCAACCCTATAAATATATGTAGTTATAAGTTATAATTTAGGGACATACTTGAAAATGCTTGAAGAAGAATTCTTCTATAAAGGGCATATTTATGCCTTTTGTTTTTTAGTGCTTTTGCATATTTGTACATCAATTTTCAAAACAAAACAAAACACGTGATTGTGTTGCTGGATATCTATGAGGACCCAGATGATTGAAATGCAATCTCCTTGTTTACCAGGTAGCTGGCAGAGTGGCCTTACTATACTAGACCATAAGTGCTATGTTGCAGCCTGATATCCTCCTACTCTGTGTTCCAGAAGGTATAAGTTGGAGATGGAGGTGTTGACAGGTCTGGTTTCTTCTGAGACCTCTCTCCTAGACTTGATAGGCACCTTCTCTTTGTGTCCTCATGTGATCTTTCTTCTTTGAGTCCCTGCTAATGCTGTCTCTGTCGGCATTTTTCCTCTTATAAAAACACCAGTCATTAGATTGGGAACCACCCTAGTGGTTCCATTTAATGTAATTACCTTTTTAATATCCTCATCTCCAAATACACTGACATCCTCAAGTATTGGGGATTAGAGCATCATTGTATGAATTTGGGGAGAACATACTTCAGCCCAGGTGCAGGTGTCCCTCCCTCCCTTCCTCCCTCCCTCCCTTCTTCCCTTCCTTTCTTCCCTCCTTCTTTTCTCTGATTCTGAAATATTTAACTCAGCATTGTTTTTTTTAAAATGCAGAGCTTAGAAATGCATCTAACATTTACATGTCACCTGGTATATATATATAAATGTGTGTAATTTTTAACACTTAAATTTTATCAATAGCTAATGATTGTGCTTATAAACCTAGAGATTTTTTTTTCCCTATCACACTGCCATGGATCTTATATCTAATAACACAAAAATCTTCTAGTTTCTTCTCTCTGAACATCACTAAAGTCAGGATTTTCTTTTCATACTCAAGGCTGTTCCCCGTTAATTGGTTTTCCTATCCCCTGGGATTACCTATTTTCCCCATGTCCTTTTTTTGCCAAGAGACCTTTCTTCTCTAAATGCAAAGCTGGAAACACCCCACTCTGCTTATATAACAGTGTTCCTCCTACATCCTGGCCTGGGTTTACATTCTGGAGGGAATGCCTCACTGTCACAACACCTTTGACATTCATCTGCAAGCCTATTTTAGTGATGCTGCAACATTTTCCTTAATAACCATTTTCCTGCTACCTGATCTTTTAAGGATCAATTTTCTGCTCTTCCTTTCCACATAAAGTCTCAATATCTGCTGAATCTTTCTCCCCTGTAATACTCGGTTATCAGAGTTGTTGACTGTTCCTTTTCCTATTTTGTTCTCTATTGTATTACTGAAATTACTCATGTCTTATGCTTATTTTCTCCTCAGCTTAAAAACAGGGTATCCATTTCTAACAATTTTCCTTGTATCTCCTTCAAGTGACTTTAATTTTTTTTTTGTAAATGAGTAAAATATGAATTTGTTAGCACATAATGTAGAGAGAGCTAAATGGAAGGCAAAGACGTATAGATGAACAACATGACCCAGGTTATTTTTGAAGCTGTATTTCTTATTTTGCAAATAATTTTTTTCCTCTTTAGAAAGAAAATGCTTTGTAAGCATTGTGTGCCTAGAATAATTATAAACTTATTTCCTTCCAATACTAGAGTACTGAATTGGAAATGTAATTTATCAACCAGATGCCTAAGAAATTGTGCATAGTGTTGCCTAGTATTCAGCAAAGGAGAGTCTCCACCTGCTGAGTAAATTTAATGTGTTATTTTTTTAATAACAGAACAAGTTTACAGTATGGAATTATGTGCTTAAAAAGGTTGAATTATGACAGAAAAGAACTAGAGAGAAGACGAGAAGCAAGCCAACATGAAATAAAGGGTAATATGTCTGTCTTTCATATCAAATTCCTTTTCTCTGATGTTTTATGTTTTCTTTCTTTCTTTCTTTCTTTCTTTTTTTTTTTTGTATATACATTGCAATGGTCATTAAACAGAATACCTTTTTGGTTAGAAGTGTTATTGTCATTTGTTTTCCTAATTATAACACAGGAAAGGAAATTGTCACATTATAGAGTGAATATTTCATTTGGGACATATTATTGATTTTTTGAATGGAGATTTATCACTCGGGACCTGTTAATTTTGTTTATATTGAAATATCTCCATGCAGATGTTTTTGTCAAACTTTTAATGGAACACTGTTGTTATGATTCAGAGAAACATGGATATTTACTCTTTATTGCAATTCTACTTTGACTTACATAATTTAAATTTTCAGAACCCCAAAATTTTCTTTTGGATTATAATTACACATATAGAAGTTTTTCCTCTAGAAACTAGATTAGTGCATCAATAATTTTAGCTGAGCATGATTTTAGGAACATTGTTAATTGCTGCAACCACTCTGTATACAAAACTGGTTAATTCAAATACCAAGAACTGCATATTGCAAATGTATTGAGAAGTATTATATTTAATAATTAAATATTGTATTAGTTTTGTGTTACTATAACAAAATACCTAAGGCATATTAATTTTATTTATTTTTTTTTGGGGGATACCAGGGATTGAACTCGGGGGCCCTCAACCACTGAACCACATCCCTGTCCCTTTTTTGTATTTTATTGAGAGACAGGATCTCACTGAGTTGCTTAGTGCTGTGCTGGTGCTGAGGTAAGCTTTGAAATCATGATTCTACCCAGCCACTGGGATTACAAGCATGCATGCCTGACCTGAGGCATATTAATTTTAAAACAAAAAGAGGTTTATATATTTCCCTTTTTGGAAGACTGAGAGTCCAAATACCATGGCTCCGGACTTTGCCAAGGCTCCCTTGACTATGTCACCTCAGGGTGGATGACAATGGTGGGAGCATAGTGGTAACAAGAAATCACATCACTGACATGAAGTCAGAAAGTTGGGTGGGGGGTGGGGTGGGGGGTGGGGTACTTGCAGGATCAAGTTTCTACAAAAATCCATCCTCTCCAGAGAACTACCAAGGGATCCCAAGGATCACCTTCATCTCTTAGGAGGGCAGTGCCCTCAATGGACCACAGGGCCTCTAACTAGGCCCTACTTCTGATCCAAGCTTCCAACACATGAAACTGAGGAACACACTAAAGCCGTTTCGAATATAGCAACTATCTAAATGTTGAACATCTTCATGTGCAGGGGGAAAGAGGAATAGAGCTGGAGTTGTGGCTCAGTGGTAGAAGCACTTGCCTCCCATGTGTGAGGCCCTGAGTTCCATCCTCAGCAAACACATAAAAATAAATAAATAAAAATAAAGATATTGTGTCCATCTACAACTAAAACCAAATTAAAAAGAAGAATACATTAAATTTTATACTTGTTAATGATGACTGAATGTTCCTTATTGTTGTTGAAGGACAAAAATTAATTAAAACTTAATTTTTGGACATAAGAATAAGTGTCTATTGACCTTTTTTGGGTAAAATTTATCAATCCACTGAAGTTGCTTAAAGGAGGGGGAAAAGGCTTATTAATAGAAACACAACCAAAAATTATTTAGGGTATTTTTGAATATTAAATTACTTATCTTTCATCTCTGTTTGCATTTTCTCTTACCTAAAAATTGATACATGCAGGCATTTCATTAAATTCAGTAGGTGTTTTTATGTTACATTACCTATTCAGTGAGGCCTGATTCTCTGTTTTTATCTTAACATCATTTGGGGACTACTTTCGATAAGAACATATTTTACATGTTACTCCCTCTTTCTCAATATTAAAATGTAGCACCGTTTTATTCTTTATTTAAGGTCACCTATTTTAGACCTCCATAATCTTCATTTGTGTCAGAAATTACTTTTTTTCTGATAGTTCTTAGATGGTACATTAGTTCTTGTGGACCGTGCTTGAATGTATGTTGGAATTACTGGTTAAAAGTATTTTTCTGTATATGGTTCATTGAAGAGTAACTAGACACACGTGGATTTCTCCTAACACTTCATTGGCTCATGACTGAGGAGCAAGAAAGTGTTTTTCCACTATCAGAATCGAGTTGTTTGATTTTGTTTCATTTTGGAGACCTAGGAAAAAATTGTAGGTCTTTTTCAGCACATTGTTCTTCAGTTGAATTGAAATTTGGAAACTAATGGACCAAAGACAGACTTCCAGAAGGCAGTGTGTATTTGACCTAACAAAGGGTGTTTCAGCTCACAAATAGATTTTGCCAATGGGAGACCACTTTCTGGTTTTCTTCCTGAAGTATTTTTTTTTTCAATTAGATTTTATAATGCCTTGTTTCACCACATGAAATGCTTCACATATAGATAGATCTAAAAGAGAAGAATTACCCATTGGGCTCTATACCAAATGTTATATTAGTATTTGGCAATTGCTGGTTAGAGTGTAGCCTTGAGAAAAACTGCCATGATTCACTATGATTATATACAAATAACCTCCATATGCTAACTAGCAATGAGTGAGGTCATAAATAGCCTCTATTTCCTATAATTGATCTGGTGGCATTTACAGGAATAACACTCAACTGTAACTAGAGGTCTTGGTTAATATCTGAAGTGTTAATTAACCCTGACCTTAATAAACAGCTTTCTAAAGTGAAAAAAAAAAAGTATCAAGAATGTACTAACATTTAATTTGTTGCTAGGAAACAGTCAACACTTATTGTTTAGGTCAAGAGGATTCCTACAGAACATTAAAGTCAAGGCACAAATTATGCCTGAAAACAGGTTTATAGAAAGGGGCTCTGATTTACAAAATGAAAAAAGAGTATGTTGCTCTTCTGAAAGAGTTGAATTAATGCTTTATTTGTCTTTACCCACAAAATGTATTATTTTATATATTTGAACACTCTTGATTACAGGTATTACAATGGAAATTTTGATTGACATATATTTGCAGAAAAATTATGGCAGCCTAACGTATCTTAGACTACCAAAACATTAACCCAATTCTAGAAAAGAACAAACACTTCTAACTCATAACTCTACCTAGGACAAAGAAAACTGGACAATTTTTAGTGTGTTTTTGATGAAAATATTTCCATTAATCTTTAAAAATAATGTTGAATTTAGTAAAATCACACAGAGAACTGTTGCTGCCACCCATACCTACCTGCCCAGCTTTTAATGTTCAAGTGCAAGATAACCAGTAGTTCCAAGAATCAGTTGCTGTCAAAAGCAGCTGATAATGTAACCAAAATATAATACTAACCAACTCACATCCCATTTTCTGAGGCTTCACACCTCAATCAAAAAAGCTAATGCAAACTCAGAGGAAAACCTGCACTTCAGAACTCATCACTGGAGACCCAGCAAACTTATAACATAAAATTCCCTACTTACTAAAGGTCAATGAGAAATTTGACCTCCTTTGCTTTGCTAAAGACATGGGGAAAAAAAGAGAAAAACCTCTGAAAGGGACAATAAATATCCTACTTCCTGCAAAAATTCATTCTGCTCTGGATGAAATAGGTAGTGGTAAAAAGACTGGGAAGCAGACATCCCTCACCTGTTCTTCATGATTAAACCCAAAGAAAGACTTAGCACCTTTCTTTTCAAATGAGATTATTCCAAGCCAAATCAGGAGTTAAGTAAAGAGATGGGGGTAGATACATCTGTAGTTTTCAGATCATATACAAATGCTTTATCGGCATCATGGATGAACAGGAACAAAAAAAGAGAACATATTTAAGAAACTTCTATTTATGACTATAATGAAGTACATTGAATAAAACAAATTTTTAACCAATAACAAATAGAAAGGATAGATAAATCAATAAAGAGCTTTAAAGGTAGTGGAAAGCAACTCAGACAACGAGGACTAGAGATCTTGGACAAAAGAGAAAATGCATAGCTAAATGGTAAACCTGACATCCTGGACTGCTTCTTCCCAGTCTCATAGATCACAAGGAGAAACGGGGTTGAAATTC